AAGATAATTTATTATAACTTATTTATGCGGCATATTTGAGTTGCCCGATGAAAATAGATGAATTTACATTGTCCGAAGTCCTCTGCGATAGTAAACATGATCAATTCTAGCTTAGGACAGTAGATCTGGTACCTTACCATACACCCCGTAAAGAAGATGAATGAACTCCATACCTTGACCAATTTTCTGTACAATGTTCAGATACTTCTACCTAAACCGTATTCTTGTCTATGCTTCTCTCTCTTTGGAGCTTTCATCTAAGCCGAACTGATAACACAACCAAGTTGCAAGAATAAGATCAAACAACTTACCCTATTTTACCGAGTCGTCTTTTCCTCCCCAAGCCAAGAATACGGCCAAAGACATGTCTTTGGTGCATACATCTCAACGGTATTGTTTAACAGTTAAGCTTTAAAAAGAGCCCAGCCATGCGATCGAATACACTCAGGAGACTTACATGTTTTGCAGGTGATCCCATAGTCCTCCTGGATGGAGACGTAACCAGGACGACAGAAGCATTCGTTTTTCTCCATCGAGCACAAACTATTGATGACACGTCGTGTGCAGTAGGCGTCGCCTTCGTGGATGCAAGGGCCTGCGACGACCACGTGAAATTCATCCGCGTAGACAAGCGCATCATTCAGTCCGAGACCGAAGACGCCGAAGCCGTGGCAGAGTCGACCATCCGAGGACAGCCAGACCAACCATGTGGCCAATAGTGTCAGAAGACGGGTTAGTCCGGACGGTGTGAATGACAGCATGGAAGCCCGATTTTCAGGCATCCCAGCAACAGAAGGGAGGGAGACAAATGAAAGGTAGAGACCTGTTATGCCGCCGAGCAATTTGGCACAAATTGACCCAATCGGTGGCCTTGTAGGCGGCTCGAAAGATGAGGTAAAACCACATTTTCGGGTGCATAAAAGGCACGAGATGACCTGCATTCTTTTCCGCCTAGCCACCAGATGAGGTCGACAAACATGGCAGCACACTGACTCGAGGATATCCTCACACGTCGGAACCGGCCAGAAGAGTCCAGATAGGCACAAAAGTACGACGGCAGAGGTGCCCCAGTGCCAAACTTGGCAGCTTTGGTAGAACAACGAACATGCTAATGAGGTCAGGTGGAAACTCTGTTAGGCAGTATCACTTTTTTGTCGGTGTGACCAATTGCATCGAGATAAAGTGTTGATTGGTCCAAGACACAAGAGACCAAACAGGCGGGCCAATAGAAAGGCTGCGTGTCTTAGGACATTGGGAAAATGGGAGTGTCATTCGAGAGCAAATTATAAAATTAAATTTAGATAAATTCGACAACATTCTTAATGGAAGTTACCATGGTACCTAGGTTGCATAATTGCTCACCCAATGTAAATTGACCTTTTAACCAACTGGTTGCTGTGACGACAAACTTTAGAGTCAAGTTCACAAGCATGCTTTACACAATAATGTTTAGGTGCAATTTAGAAAAAATTGAGATTCTTCCTGTCGCTCATCCCTGCAGTAAGTTTACAAATCAACTTGCAAGAATGCTTAGATTTGTTAGACCCGAGATGAGCTGGGTCGAGAAAGAAGATTCTCACCAAACTCCTCAGGTGAACTGAGGTAATTCGAGGGCCAAACAGAACCTGTTTTTGCTTCGAAGTCCTCATCCGACTTGTGATATCTTAAAATTAAACATCATTGCCAAATACATAAATCAGTAGTTAAATCAGATTGCTATAAGACAAGTAGGTGGTTGTGTCTTCACAAAAACTCCCTAAAAGTGGTATTAATTGACCAAGGTTGGTCTTAGCAGTGAAGATTAATTAGGCTTAATCCTATCACAGAAATTGAGATGACAAAAGGTTGGGACTTCCTTGAAATTCATATTTTCCCTGTGACCCAAAGGTAGTGTGGTACGGTGGCTAAAGTGGTGATATTATGCACTAAACTACAACAGCCGAGTTTTAAGTCCCGCTGGGGGCGCAAATAAGTACAAGGCCACTCCTGCCTGAATGAGAATACATTTTGGCAAGCAAAAAAATGTGAAATTCAATGTAAATGTAAGTTCTACTGAAAGCATTGTGGGCAAATTCAACTATCAGTCTTTCATCAACCTAAACGTGAATACAGCTTATATATGTGGTTTACTGGTAGCCTAGACAATCAAATTATAAAAAAAACAAAAAAAATGTAATAAACGTTTTGGAAAGTTTTGCGAAGAAAAGTTGGTCTCAC